TCCTGTTCTCTGTGCTGAACATATTCACAAAGTCAATAAAAACGACCTCCTTTCTAGATGATTAAAGACTCGACATAGTCAAGAGAAAAGAGGAGGCTTCTTTTTAAAGAGGAGACATCCATTCAGAGCGAACACAATCTGCTTTATATTCATATTCTAAAAGGAAAATCTGATGCATTCTTCATAGTTTCCCTGTAAGGACCAGTTGCTGTGGTTGATCACAAACAGTCAAATTAGAAAGGCAAACATTGACATTATAGCGTCATAAAGCAGATGATGTGGATTTCCTTGTTGTTGACATGTTTGATGATGAAGAAATTCTCCGTTGACACTGACTTGCTTACATAATGATCATTTTATTGACAAACAAGTTACAGCATCGCCAGGCTCGCCATGGTTCGACCTGGAGAGACACAGCCAAAAGTGATCTCTTCCCTTACACACAGAAACTCTGGTATTATGGACACACCTCACAGGAGAACAACATGAGACATCTTTGTTTTTCAGGACACCCCTCTTCATACAACTGCAGGGGTTTCTGTCTTAGTCATATGTATGTCATATGTATGTCATAAACTCAAAGGACAACTCAGGTCACAGATACAATCTCTTGTCCAGAAGTCCCTGGGCAACTCTCTGGATACAGGGCCCCATTGTACACATTCCACTGAGAGGGCTCCTAAATCTCCTTCAGATACTATCACAAGACGCACCCATTGTAAACTTATATTATCTCTGTCCTGGTTACGTCAGACACTTCACAGACTCTGTTGCTTGTCAAAAGGTTGAACCCCGGGTCGTCCACTTGGATGGCTTTAGCCTCCATACATGAGACGTTACGATCTGCTAGGTCATCAGTCACCTGTTTGTTGAACATTTTATAAAATGATAAAGAAAACTCATAACCTCTTTTACTGATTCCACTGTTTTATATCATATTTAAAAATAATCTGGATTTTTTTTGATATGAATTTTTTCTGGTGAAGTTGCATCATAACCGTGTTTATTGTTACAGGCCCAACTCGACCTTCTCCCAATCGATGATAGATGGCGCTGAAGCAGATGATGCTATAGAGTCAGGATTCTCATCTGTCAGTCAGTGAGTGAAATGTGCTTACATCTTATTCAGACTGACAGTTTAAAAATATAAATATTTTGATGAGGCTTAACCGTATCAGTTAAAACTGACATCGAGTGCTTTCACACGACTTGAGTATCACATTTTTTTATTTATTTTTTAAAGATTTCGGTTTTAGGACAGATAAGCGGATAGATTTGGAAATCAGGGACAGAGAGTGGGGAGTGACATGCGGGAAAGGACCACAGGTCGGATTCAAACCCTCTATATATTGGCGCGCGCACTAACCACTCAACTTAGTAATCAACAAAAAATACAACTGATGTTTAGTGAATTTTTAAAAATCTACATATTACACTTTAAGAAATTTTCTATTTCAAATCTCAACACGCTGACTTTCATCAAACACTGGATGATGATTAACAACACACACATTCTCTCTGAAGTTCTTTGTTTTGATGAAGTTATGGATTTCTTTAAATGTTTTTTTTTTTTCAAACTTGTTGTTGCTGTTGGTCCAGAAATGTCCCAAATAGTCAGGTTGGTCAGGTTTAAAGTTCATGTAAGAATCAGGAGTTTATCATTCAGAGTGAACTAAATCAAGTCTTACTGGATCGATGTCTAATTTAGAAGTTTTAGTTTTTCATCTGTTGTTGTGGTTTGATATCTAACTATCTAATCTTTCTCTCTTTTTCAGCTTTTTCAGTGATGACGACCAATCGACATGTCCATCTGATCATCCCTCCACAGTGATTGGTCAAAGAATAAGATTTTAAAAAATCAGAAAAAACCCAATCAGTAAGTTTTTAACAATGAATCCTGACAGTCATGTTTGTACACACACACACACACACACACACACACACACACACACACACACACACTGAGTCTGTTTTGCTGCATGTTAAAAAACAAATACAATCTCATGTTGAGTCGATCATGTTTGCACTCTGAAAACTTTCATCTGTCTTTATTATTTTCACAACAGGTTTGTTTTTCTAACTTTTTTTGCATCCTTCCAATCCGTGTTCAGGATCAGTTTCTGTGTGTAAATTGGTGGTGTTCCTTTAATGTGTAGTTTCAGTATAGCTAGCAGCGTATCAAACTCTGACATCCTGAAATACACCTGAAGTGATGCTGATCATTCTGCAGCTCTTTTATCAACAGGGGAAACTCTCCTGGCTCTTGTCTTGTTTTCAGGAGTGGGTGGACCCAGAGGTTTTTATTTCTTTATTTTTTAAGGACTGAAAGAATCACAAAGTCATCCTCACGGCTCGATGACTCCATTCTGTCTCACACTGACAATTTTCAGAATGAAGAGAAGAATGAACACATCTGACTCAGAGTGTGAGGTTCCTGTGTAACGTTTTGATCGGATTACAGATCTGAAAAACACATTTTAAAAAAACAGACTCAGTGTGCAAAGACCTTAAAGATGAAACAACCCCCATGGTTGATGTAAAGCAAACGCCATGCTCCTGTTTAAAAGATGTTGAAGTGATGTTGAGTTTTCAAGTCAAATGTTTGACTGAAACATCAACACCTCCTCTCTACTTTGATCCTTTGTGTCATTCATGGAATAAAGAAACAACACAGTGTTTAATGTGTTGCTCAGTGTCTGCTTTGCTCTTCATATTTCATTTGTAATAAAGAAACATCATCAGTGTGTCTCTTGTTGCAGGGATCAAATGTGGCAACGTCTGCAGGGAGTGATGGGCATCGTTTTTCGGCCCGTCTCCCACCTGATCAGTGAGTAAAATGTATTTACAACATATACAGTATGTATTCTTTGAGATGAAGCTGTGAACATCATTTAAATGTTCTTAAGGTAAAGGATCTTATTGTCATGTCTCTATTGTTCATGAATGAATGTTTGTTTCATATTTTAATTATGAAATTTTGTAAATCAACATTTTAAAGCCGGACCGTCTTCTCCTTCAGAGAAAATGACATGTTGCTTTATTAATGAACATTTTGGTCAACGACACAAAGTATAAATAACATGTTTCTTTTTTTTTACACTTACTTTGATCACATTAAAAAAATTAGCTGCTTTTGATTTGAATGTTTATTTTGATGAAGAATAATCATACAATGCTTATTACTCCATGCAGGATGAAGAGGAGGAAGAGGAGACTAAATCAGTGATCTAAAAGTCTGAACTTTGTGTCTGGACTTTGGGCTGACTGGTTGTTTGAAAACCATGTTGAGTATAATGATCTGTAGCTCTTTTTGTGACAGCTTGATTTGGATACTTATGGATAAAACAAATGTAAATGATAAGATTTGTTAGTGACATAAGATGATGAAGTCAACTCAGCCTTAAAAACAACTGTTGTTTTCTATTATCTTACTGTCATCTGTGTACTCATTCTTTAATTTTCTCTGCTGGGATTCTTTTGATTGATTGAAGTCTTTATTTCAAATTTGTATTTTCTTTTCCCCCCCTTTGTTTCAGGATAAAAAAACAAACAAAACAGATCCACAAAAAGAAAAGTAAATAAGACAACAGAACATTTGAATTTCATGTTCGTAAAGAAGTGGGAAGAAGTGTGAATTTATAGAATCCCACCCCCTCTCTGTTAATCTGTAGTTAATAGTTGAACAGGCTTCCTTATTTAATCTTCATTTACGAATAAATAAATAACGAATCTGCAATACACATTTATATATATAAACCAATAAACATACAAAATATATAAATTAAATACAAATGTGTTTCTGCAAAATATAATTTCATTTATCAACCATGCACAGGTGTAATTAATTTATACTTGTCCAAGATGGGCACACCTCCATCGCAGTAGAGAGTCTATCATTGTTTGTCTATCATTTATCAACCATTGACATATTTGAACATGTATTGATTTCTTTTATCTTCCATATTCATGTTCTTCTCCCTTAATTAATGATATACAGTTTGTAGTAATACATTTAAGTTAGTGTTTTTTCTCCATTACCTATTTACCCTTCACCATACCTGTCAACATATTTACATATATACCTTCATTCCTTTTAGAAAAACTAACATAAGAAAAAAATTAACAACCGTTATAATCACCATCATAACCACGCAGCAAATGTTTAGTCCCTTCTGCATCCTTATACTTTCTGAAAATGTTTTTATTTTTTTTGTACATTTTGTAAAACTTGTTTGTGCTTGGACTTGGCTTCAGCTCCACATTTAAACTGTTACAAAGTTTTATGCCAACAATAGAAATAGAAAAACTTCTGAATGTTGTGCGTGTGGCCAGAATTTTGAGATTCAGTTGTCTCCATATTGTAACCCCCCTCTCTATCAAAGAATAGTTTTGGGATATTTGCTGGTAGTAAATAGTTTTTTTTCTTTCTACAGTATTTGTGCTATTTGAAATTCTGTGAGTTTGAGTGTTTTTGACTGCAAGAATAATGAGTGAGTGTGATCCCGATATCCAGCATTATGAACGAAGCCTATGGCTCTTTTCTGAAGTACGGAGAGTGAGTGCGCTTAACTTTTATATGTGTTGCCCCGAACCTCCTCACAGTAACTTAAATATGGTAAAACAAGTGTACTGTAGAGGGTATGGAGAGATTTGTGATTTATTTATCTATTGTTACCCCAACAAATGTGTATACATAAACTATTTAAATGCTGACACCATCTATTTGTAGCTGTATTTTTGTGTTTGCTTTATATTTACCAAATAAAATAATTTTTATGTGATTCAAATTTAATGACAATTTATTTCTATCAAACCACTTTTTTAATTGTTTCCATTTCTGTAGTAATAACCTCTAATAATTGTAGATTCTCACCTGAACAAAGAATATTGTTATCATCTGCAAATAAGACCAGCTTCAGTTATTAGAGACTTTACATACAGTATGTCATTAATGTATTAAATAAACAGATTAGGACCCAACACTGACCCCTGGAGGGATGCCACAAGCAATGTCCAAGCACGATGATTAAAACTCCCCCAACTTCACAAATTGTTGCCTACGATACGATCCCCCCTGATGCCACATCGTTCTAGTTTATTGATCAGTATTTGATGATTTATTGTGTCAAATGCTTATTTGTAGTCCAAAAATACCCCAACTGCTTTGTGATTTCCTCTTGATTCTATTAATGCGAATGATGTTGAATGGTTTGTCTGAATCTGTATTGTACGGTGGCTGGGAAGTACAAACCAAAAGACAAATTCACTCTATGGAAAACATTTTATAAAACAAAATTACAAAAGCAAAACACCTTTTACCAAGGACACAAATTATTTACATTTCAGAAAACAAATTTAAAAGGTGTCAAACACTTTTACGAGCGCTGAGAGGAATTTACAAATGCCAGAATCTTGACGGAAAGGGAATGTACCAAATGCCAGAAGCGGTCACTTAACCTGTTTTCACATATGCAGACTATTCCTGTATCACAATGTCAACTAAAGAGTGAGAACAACATACTGATAAACAGAAAACTTAATGCAGTCGTTTAATTACCTGCATGGAGATCGTACGGTGTATACACTTTATGCACCGTGCAGCAGTCACAGTATACACGTCACCCCCCCCTCCCATTGGCTCGAGGTGAATTCTCCAGAGAATATCCTGCTGCGTTCTCACATCAGCTGACTAGGATTTGCTGTGGAAAAAAATACTATGGTGTGTGGCAGGAGAAACTCCGGGTGAAGTCTGAATGAAAAATTTGGCTGTTTGCGTTCACACATGCAGCTCCTCCTGGAAATATCCACATTTTTTTTTAGAATTTTTCTGAAAGTGTGTAAGCCTTTTCCTGTCTCTCTTCAGCTGTCCTATCAAATAAAGGTAAATATGGCCCAATAGACTGCGTTAAACTTTGTTTTGTCCTTTGTGAAAGTGTTTTCCTTTTGTAATTTTTAATTCATAAAATGTTTTCCAAAATTTAAATTTGTCTCCAGCTTTGTAAAAGTATTTCACACTTACTTTTTCAAGTAAGCAACAGCCAAATAAGTGTAAAGTATAGCTGTATTAAGTGGCATAAATGAAGAAGGAAAAACAAACAAAAGAATGGATAGGTATAGGTAGTGCTAGTAGACTAAATTACCTCAAAACTGTACTAAAGTTCAGTATTTAATTAATGTTAATTTAGTTTATAGTTAGATTTATCAATAGCTGGATAAATACACAATACGTGAACCAAAGCGGAACAAATACATTATAAATAAACCAGAGGAAAGATATTTTTTTATGAGTATTTATTCCATAATCCTGTCCTGTCCAGCATCAAACGCACTGTTTTGAGTTTTTGCCTGATGCCTCTGTACTTCTGCCTGGTTATCCTCATTTTTGGTTTTGACCTCTGGGACGGACTGAGTTTTGCTCTTCCTGAAAACTTCAGTAAACTCTCAGTTTGTGCCTTACTCCTGCCTCTGCCCTGTGATTCTGCGTGTGGGTCTTCTCTGATTTGTAATAGAAGTCAAAAGTTCCTGCAGTGTTTGGGATGATCTGAATCACTATCATTGTAAGGTACACAGCATGAATATGTCACTTAAAATGTGAACTTAAATTCAGCTGTTAGTCTAAGACCTATAGGAGAGAAAAAGCATACTATTACCAAATGCAATGCTTTGTTTTCGAGGCTTTTTTATGCCTTTATTTTCACGACAGGACAGTGGATAGAGTCAGAAATCTTTGTTGTCGGAAACATAGGAAAAACGTGTTTCCGAGTTGTAAAATGCTCATGATGGGCAAAATATGTTTGTTAATGTTGACATACTTTTTATTTTTTGCCTGGTTTCTTCTTATTACCTCGTTTAGCTTCACTCTCGCTCCTAAAAACATTAGTAAGGTTTGCTGCCCTGAGCTCAGGCTCACAGGCTGGCTTGACTGCCGCTCCTCGAGTTTACATGGTGAAGTGAGCCGCCCCTAAATTTGAAGTGCCCACGTATTCTGATCTTTATGGTAAATGCTCCGGACTGCAGAGCGAGCAGGAGGAACAGACAGAGAGAGCGATGAAGTGAAGTGCTAAATGTCTAGGTCTTACCATAAGACTGACTATGAGATACACGTGTATGAAACGGGAGTAAACAGAATACAATACAGGGAATAGCTGCGGAGGTCGGAGAAGTTAGTATGAGAATAATTCTGCGAGTCTGCGAGTTCCGTTTTTCAAAATAAGGTGTTCACAATTGAAAAAAAAACAAAAAAAAAACAGTTTTCTTGGAGAAAAAAATAATTATATATATTTTCTTACATAAGTATACCATGATTCTGATATGGTTGGACTAAGTACTTCCTAGACTACATGCACCTGTACTATGAAGTACTTTTACTGTGTACTTTTTGAGAAATCCATTGTCAAAGTCCCTTATAAATCACTATAATGACTCTTTTTTTCTGACTTTGATGTCTTGTAAAAAACAATTCTTCCATAAGTAGAAAATGATTCTGATATGGTTGGAGTTAGTACTTCCTAGACTACATGCACAAGTGATATAAAGTACTTCTCAAGGATTTCTCAAAAAGTACAGACACACATTTGAAGATATGTGTGCGCATTTGTGGATTTTGCACGGCAGGAGTTGTAATGTTTGTAAAACCCGAGATGAAGCAGGCGGACAACGACGTAGCAATGTATAGGCTTTAATCCAGAGGCTGCCGGTTACATGCACAAACAGTGACTAACTAACCATGACTGAGCTACATGACTGCTCTATATAAATGTGTCACCCATAGATGGCGTTGTTGCTTCACTTAAAGCTGCCATCAACATTACAGGAGTGTTGTAAAATGTATGTAAAATGACAGCCAATGGAGAGGCCCGCCTCAGTTGTAAGAGGTCATTTGTGTATTTTCAGGATTTACAGCTGAAAAAGTTCACTGCTATTAATAAATAAGTAAACATTTAGAAATTGGTCTACAGATTTGCAGATTAGTACACGCATTTGTGGATTTTTCTTTTTTTACACATTTGTGGATCTGTGTGTGCATTTGTGGATCTCTATTTACACATTTGTGGATCTGTACGAATATTCAAATAGTTTTGACATAACAATCCTCCAAAATACTAAGAGTTGCTCTTAGTGACCAAATTTTAAGACAATTTGGAGAATCATGACATTTTCTAAGAATTTCCCCTTAAAGTTAAGACAAGATCCTTGTAAAAGAGTTGCCCTGAGAATGTTCCTAAACTAAAAATCCTTCCTAGGATCTTTTACGCTAATGCTCTGAGAGAGAGGGATTTTGAATACAGCCTATGCTTTTATTGTAAGGTTGACGAGCAGATTGGAAACAGGTGTGTGTCGTCTGCACATACAGAATCCATACTGTTTTTATTTATATTATATTATTATTATATTATACCGTTTTTATTTATATTATATTATTATTATATTGTACTGTTTTTATTTATATTATATTATTATTATATTATACCGTTTTTATTTATATTATACGTTTTTATTCATATTATATTATACTGTTTTATTTATATTATATTATTATTATATTATACCGTTTTTATTTATATATTATTATTATATTATACCGTTTTTATTTATATTATATTATTATTATATATACTGTTTTTATTATATATATATTATTATTATATTTATACCGTTTTTATTTATATTATACCGTTTTTATTCATATTATATTATACTGTTTTTATTTATATTATATTATTATTATATTATACCGTTTTTATTTATATTATATTATTATTATATTATACCGTTTTATTTTTTGTAAATGCTTAGTTTTATTTATTTTTGATATACTTAATTAATCCCTGAGGTTTCACACTCTGATATTTATAGGGACATGCTTCTCACACACATGCACAAACAGGACCTGTGGACATGCATTGATGGAAAGATGTCAGAGTGGGGCTGCTACAAGCTGCTAAGCAGAGAGTGCATCAGAGCAGTTGGGGGTTTGGTGCCTTGCTCAAGGGCACTTTGGCAGTGCTCAGGAAGCTATCTGGCACCTCTCCAGCTACCAGACAAACTTCCAGATTTGGTCCGCACCGGACTTGAACAGGCGACCCTCTGGTTCCCAACCTAAGCCCCTACAGACTGAGTTACTGCCGCCCCCATTTTGTTGGTCTCTGTATCGTAAATCTTTCAGAGAACATATCAAGCTACTTTTTTTTTTATGAACCTTAGACATATTATGTGAGTCAGTGAAAAAAGTTTTAACTTGTGCGGCCAGTAAGTTTATCCAGAATTGAAACTGAAATACCCGAGACAACATGTAATGACAGGCCGAGTGTCACTCTGTACGTTTGTGTCAGAGACAAAAACTAAAGACATTTTCTCTATGATTTATTTAGGTCTTTTTTTTACACAATACTGTTTCTGTTATGTTTTTGGTAAAGTTGTTTTAAATTTTAGTTTCAGTTAATGAAAATGTTTTTACACTTGAGTTTTTGTTATTTGTTTGATTTCGTTAACAATCCTAACCTTGGAATGAACACAGTCAACTTTTACTGGACTGATTCCTAATTTGTACTTTTCAGCATTTGTTGGTCTGGATGTTTAACATTGCAATCTTCAAACTGTCTTACAGTTACATGTAGTCTTACACTGACCTGAACCACTGCATGATGTCAACTGTCAGGTCCTTCAAAGAAAAAAGATCATCTCTAAGGTAAGATTTAATCAACCTTTAAATGTCATTGCAATTATTACACACACACACACACACACACACACACACACACACACACACACACACACCACACACCCT